TTTTTTTTTTAAAATCTCATGGTAGACGCGGTGTGGAAAATAAAGGTCGGAAGCTCAATGCGTGCTCTTGAGAAGCCCTGCTGAAGGGCTGTCAGCCGAAACATTGACAGCCATTATGATATTTTTTTTCTCGTTTCACTCGCCTTTCCAACGTACCGTTCGCGTGCTATAGCGGCGGTGTTGGCTGCCAAGTTGCCTTTCTTCTTCGTTGCGTCGCTCCTTCGCACGCACTGCGCCGCACCGCTGTGGGCATCCTGGCGCGCAGCGATCGTAGACGGGCGGCTCCACGGACGGAGCCGGTTTCGTTCGCGTGGTTACGCAGTCAACGTACGCGGTGGGGGTGGGGGGGGTGAATAAAAGAGGTCTCAGCGGCGCCAACGTTTTAAGGATTTTGGCCAGGTCGGTCCGCTCGTCGGTTCCTCTCGAGTGACAGTTCACGTCTCCCCCACCAGCCCGCCACGTGCGAGTCAAGCTCGCGAGCGGCAGTGGGCAAATTGGGCCACCAGTGCCCGGTTGGGACGGAGGAGACGGCAGTGTGGTTCGTAACACAACACCCCACTCACTAGTTTACCGAGGCGCCATTGGCTCGACCCGCCACTGCCGTTGCGAGCTGAGCCAAATTTTATATGGGGGGGGGGGGTAGGATGGAAGCTTGGCGTCGTGACTAAATTAAGGTAGAAATAAACACAAGTAAGTTGAATATATATTAAAGAATAAATTAAACAGGGAAGCTACTGTGACTCGGTTAATAATTTCGCTGTGCTCTCAGTCCACAGGGGGTGGGGGGGGGGACTCGTGGAAAGTTGGAGCCGCAATAAATTTCGTCATTAACGAGAGACTTGCCTTTATTACAGCAGCCCCATAAAGCTGTCACTAAATCAAGCCGACTCCCTGCTGCCCCATCTACTCGTCGTCTGCTGCTCTCTCTCTCTCTCTCACTCTCTCCCCTCCCCTCTCTGTCTCTCCACTCCGAGCTCCTTGAGGTTCTTCATTCTCCACATCCCGTTCCACGAGCCAATGGTCAATGTCAGCCGTCCACTCCTGGCTTTTGTTGACACGAAGTGAGTAATGCTTCCTACAACAAGTTGGATTCATTATTACGCTTTGCAGTCTCGTCACATAAGACTGCGCATTCATTTTGTGTTGTTGCTATGACAGTGCTGAAAATTAAACGGACTTGCTCAGAGCGGTGGCGCAGTGGTTAGCGCGCTTGCGCTGTGAACACGGTGTCCTAAAGATCGATTCACGGCAGCGGCGAACATCAGTGGCGAGTGACGTCTTAATCTTGGCTCACGTCAACTTACGCACGCACCCACCCCCCTCCTCGCCGTTTCAACCAACACGCACTGATCAGTGGCATGAAGAATGGTCAAACAGACCTGGCACAACTGACACCACGGGTGCGTGACGACACCTTCATCCAGCGGCGGATAGGCCAAAAAAAGGCCATGAAGTTATTAATGACACTGGATTATGGTACACGTCCAGCATAGGACAAAAAAACACAACAGCAGCAGCTGATTTATTTGTTGAGGTCCGAGTGCAGCTAATTAAACGCGTTCATGTGCAACCGCAGATTAATTACAGTATACGAAGTTTAATGTAAACATTACGAGGCGTGTGAGTGCGCTACTCTCACGGGCCTGGTGATAGTCACGATGATTTGAACCACCCCGGAGCCTTGCACGGCTTATAACGTCTTCACCATAATGCAGGCGAGCCCCACTGGAAGAAAGTAAAAAAAAAGCCCTCTTCAGTTTAAGTGGGAATAACGTACTCTGGAAGTACAACGTTGAATTTTTTTTCTCCCTTCAAAATAGCGAGGCAATTAAAATACCGCAGATGTCGAATTTCTCGGCAAGTTTCGTGAATAATGCGCTGTATCTGCAGCAGCTAAAAATAATGGCAATTTGAAATGTGCGAAAGCACAGTTAGCGTTCACCTTACATTATTATCGTCAGCAGCGCTATCTCTTTGCACCGTGCACGGAGTATGCGAACGTGTCATTGTATCGCACAAATGTTCCAAACTGCAAAAATAAACGGTTCGGTGAACTTTACACAACGCTCGTGTTCCTATAATAATCCGTGCTGATCCAAACAGTCGCTGCAACACAAAAAAAAACGCACGCACGCACGCGGCGAAGGTTCAAGTGCCGTGTGTCGTGGCTGTGATGCTTGGCGCGCGCCGTGCAGCGGTATTGGATTTTTGTGTTTTAATTGTTCAGGGGTTTGAGCCATAACCGGGGGGCACTCTCCTTCCCTGCAGTCGGTACAATGGTCGCACACCAGTGTGGCTGAGTAATGCCCCTCATTAAGCTGTAAAATACTTATTGTCCGCAAATGCTCACACTAAGTGGACTAAGTGACATCGGAGGCCCAAACACTCTCTCCTCGATCGCCCTTTCTCCCGTGCCCGCTTTTGTACCTTTCCCCAATTCGTCTCTTAGATTCGTTCGTTTTTTCCGCTCTCTCTTTCTCCCTCTCCTGGTTCCCAACTTCCTAAATCATTCATGTACCCACGTCTCCCTTTCCCCTCTACTCCCCCCACACTCCGTCCGTCTCTGCCGCCCTTGTCTCTCTCTTATTCGCCTCCCCCCCTTCCACCTTTCTCTTTCAGCCTCTCCACCTCACCCCTTGCCCCTCGCTTCTCCCCCCTCTCTCTCTCACTCTCTCTCTCCGAAGCGCCCACCAATTCCCCCATTCAGCGTGCACAAGGGAGGATTAACAAAAAAATCCGTGTGAGAAAAAAAAAACCGATTGGCGATTTAGAGACCGAGCGGAGCGCGTGAAAAAGCCGCGCAGAGCGAGATATTCCGAAAGGAACTTCTGCATTCATCGTGGACGTCTTTAGTTTGGGGTAAGATTAAACCTCGAAGCGAAGCGACAGCCTCCGCCAATCGCTGATGGTATTGCAACGCGGCGGGGGGATGAAGAGGCAGCCTCAACGTTTATGACAAAGGAGGATAGACGCGGATAGGTTCGCAGACGTCTGCATATGAGACCGCGGGCATTATATTAGCTGCGCCAAAAAAAAAAAACCACACACACACACTCCGAGCGCCGACAGTTATTATTGGACAATTTAAATGAAACTTTAATGACGTTGATGCGGCGGGGGTGATATAATGTCACCGTGGGACAAAGGATAACTGTTCGCGTGTTTGAAAGTGCGCAGAGTAATGAGCACTCCCGCGTTCATTGCTCACACATCAACCGAGGAATTGGCGACTAGGGATCGCGTCTCTCCGAGCGAGGGACGGATGGCGCGATTGATTTTGCCAGTGAGCACCGCAACGCCGGCTGGTAGGCAAGCCCCAGTGGTTCAGAATCAGAGTGTTTTTTTTTTCTTACACTCTGGAGGAATCCGATGAGCGATGAAGCTCTTTTTCACACATGTCCAGTCGGTTATTCGTCGAGCGTGCAAGGAGACACGGAGAGACAGGGAGCGGCACCAGTCAAGTTTCAAGATTATTTCGTAAAAAAAAAACAGGATACGCTGTTCATTCGTCTCGCTTGCGAGAGTGACCCCCGGACACCAGTCTCTGCCTGCAAGTTGAAGGCGATGATTTGACACGTATCATCCAAATTGAGTAATTTGCGGGTCATTTTTGAATTTGCCAAAACATCGAAAACCCTGACGCCTGCACACAATTACTTCGACTACTCTTGCCGATGACGTAATGGGGGTCTTTAACGCCCCCCCCCCCTAGCCCCCCGTGAAGCTGACGGTGCGTATAACCGTGCTAGCTATTGCTCCTGCAATAATAATGCCAATAAACCAGGGCGACCGCTGGAGTCGAACCGTGACCTTAATTCGACAACATGTTTCGGCTGGACCGTGCGCACTTGCATCTAAAACACACGTAGCGCGTAGGCCTCGCTGAGTGTTCCCCCTACACACACACCCACCCACCCCCCACCACGTTGGCTGCAGGTAGAGCCGATCGTAGATTGGTCAGAGGAAATGACTCCGAGCGGACGGTTGTCAAAGGGTGCCCGCTCACGATTGATGATCCGGCGATGATTCATCCACGACGTCGCGCTCGGTAGCCCAGCCGATGGGGCTCCGCGCTGCACGTCCCGTCACATGGGTGGGCACATTTTTTTTTGCGCGTGTGCAGGCCTGGCATGTGCGCGTGAAACTACGGGGGGGGGGGGGGCGAGACATTATGAGCACCCCACTAAAATAATAGGGAGAAGGGCATTTTGTAGTCTTATCGCAAAGGATCGATGTCTCTGCCACCAATCGTAAATCCACAAATTACGCTCTCTGAAGACCCCTTCTGGTACACGGTGTCCAGCTGTGGCTGGTGCGACCTGCTTACAACGTTCAGTGATGCGCAAACTGAGGTCATTAGCATTAACAGGGTAATAAAACAAAATCAGTGGGGTGTCTATAAATGGATCACAGCGTTTCGTGATGAAAAAAAATCCTCTTCCTTTTACGGTATTCCGACCAGCTTTATGTACACACAATATAACATACGACGTCACAGTATTGCCACGCACATCAAATATAATATGTTAAACATTACCACTATAAAGCAAAACAAATGCGGGAGGGAGGGGGGCAAGCACCATAATGAAATGCAGTCGGATCACGGTTTAACAAAAAATATAAAAGCGCACAGTGGTCGGGGGGCAGGCACGGGGACAGGGAGATGCGCGGTTTGTCTAAGTATGGGGTGCTGCTTTTAATTACGGTTTGTTGTAACAAAACGCCCCACTGCATCGCCCACAGCCAGAAGTCATCAGTCATTCATTACCACAACACAAAAAAACACACACACAACTGGGGAAGGGCCTCATTGAATCCGCGCGGGCCGCAATTGGTCCGACTCGAGGTGATGTCGACAGTGGGCCGTGATTCGAGTCCGAGGCAGCAGCCAACCAGAGGGAATCGTGCCGATTGCGGGGGCGGGGATGGAGGCGGGTGCAAGCATGGGGGGGATTTTAGGCACGCCAAGTGATGGGTCCCTGCAGACTGCCGCGCAGGCGACGCGCGCGCACGTAGTGAGCGCACGTAACGCGGTCTTCGTCCACAGCGGCTCTCGCTCGCTCGATCGCTCTCTCTGCCCGGCGGGTGGAGGAGGAGGTGGTGGTGGTTGGTGGACGGGAGTTCGTCTTGCCGCACGTTCTTTTGTTTTTGTGCCAGCCGTGAATGAGCGGGATCGCTGGAGAAGTTGACGAGCGTCAAGCCGGATCAGAATCTGCTGGACGCAATTTTTTTTTTGCTCGATTTCGACTTCGACAGCGGGAACAGTTTTTTGCGGGGCTTGCAGCGAAAAAAAGAAAACCGGTGACTTTTCGAAAGGGCGAAAAAGTTCGGCAGCTCCTCCGTCATTCCACCGTTGAAAAGTGAGCAGAAAACGCATCTCATCATCGAGGATCTTGCGTGGAAGTTGAGCAATTCTGGTAACGAACCGTCGCAGAGGACACGGGACAACTTTGGTTGTCGGGTACTTATCGGTGCGTCGTATACACACACACACACATAGGCAAACACTCACTTGCTCACGCGCGCACGCACGTACACGTGTGTCCATTGTAGAGCACGGGGAGAACCCTTGAAGCCAGGGGCGCACCGACCTCAGAGGTTAAGCCCTGCTGGCCACCCGCTAGCTTCCCCCACCCACCTCTCCTCGTGGCTGAAAAGGCTGCTGCAAATTCCTAGCCCGAGCCAGCAAACACCCTGCGATTAACTGACCTTTTGTCTGGCTTCGAAGAGAGAAGTCCTGATTGGAGAAACCTGCCCTCGGGGTTAAGGACTGGACAATTCAAGACCTCTAATCTCCGGCTCGCCATCTCCTCCAACGCAAGGATTATTTGAGCCGGGGGTCACCTGGGCTTTCTCTTCCGCTGCGGCTGCAAAGTTGCCTTCCTCTGGGTTCTTCTGCGAGCAGTCAAGAAACTTCCAGGTAACAACACGACTGGAGCGAGTTTTTTCCTCCAGTGTTTTTTTCATCTTCTTCTTCTTCTTCTTCCCCTTGAGCTGTGCGCGACGGCGTAAATTTAGACTTTTAAACATGCCATAACATCGCGTGATTGCAGTTACAAACGTACGTTCCGTTGACGTCCGAAAAACAAAAATAGTTTGATGGAAATTTATGAGCTGGGTGACCCCATCGCTGACTTTTACAAGTATGTTGGAATTTTCTTTTGGTGGGAAATGAGTGAAAGATTTTAAATCGTTTATTTTCGACGTTTTTGTGTGTGTATTTGTATTCAATAAAATGCGTCTTCTTCTGCCAGAGAAGTTTACACTTTTTACAGACATATCTTGCGAATTTGTCTACAATCTGCCCAACCGTGGCTGTTGTTCTTTGTCAGAAAAAAAAGGTCACCATTCCTAAATGGATTACGGTTTTTATTTTTGTTAAAGATTTCAAACGTATAACTACAAATTGAGTCCCCCCCCCCACCTTCCCAAAAAAATGCTGCAGTCATTGTTTTTTTTTGTGGTTCAACGTTGACGTCAACTGCACAGGCACAAGGTTGCAATGAGGACGGAACCCGTGTGGCTGCTGACTGGCCAGCCAAAAAAATGAAAATTGGGCGTCGGTTTTAATTGGTTTTGGGAAGGGTGGGATTTCTGCACGAGTGAGCGGGGCTGTTTGTGCGGAGGTAATGAGGCGGTGTGGCTACGCCGGTGCTGCTGCTGTTGTCCCGTCAGAGCTGGGCACGTTTTGTTTTCTCGGTCTCGTCTTGACTCATCTTTCACTCTTTCACTCTCTCTCTCTCTCTCGCTCCCTCGCTCTCCGTTTCGCGTCGCAAAACCGTCGGTGTAATGGACAGAGGTTACGCTAATGCATCGCGAGCTCAGGTATGTCGACGTATGGCCGGGATAACCCTGTAAGTGCTTATTAGGTGGCAGGAAATGATGGGTGTCAAATTTTGAGCTGAGAAATGGCCCATTTGGGTTAAGTAAAGTGTTCGTGTCAAAGCAACGCCCCGGGATCTCGCAACGCAGAGGAGAACATTACTTCGTCGCTCACAATATGTAGCGGTGAATAAATCATTTAATAGAGCCTCGCTGGTATGACGTAAGCTGGCACAGGAATATTTAATCGATGTCAAGAAAACCCAAGGGGATGATGCACCTGAAGGGAACGAGCCAGGAAGAAGGGGGCACCGACAGTTAAACTATTTTGGACGCTCCACGGATTCTTTCTCTGCCTTTGTCTGTGAGACGCATAGCTACGTGCGTGCATGAATCATGTTTTCTGCTGGCTTGTGCGAGAATGTGTTATGCGAGATTCTCGGACGATTAGGCAGAGGCGAAATGTGTGCACAAAGCCAGAAAAGTAGATTATCTTCGACTTCAAATTTAAGAAATTCTGTGATGTCGAACTGCAGTGTTTTCTCTCTCTGGCTCTCATCTGTACGTACTATGTAAATTGATTTTCTCAAACATGATTCCACATAAATGTAAACATAAATTGAGACCTAACAATACGTAAAAAAATAATCCGAATGACTTTTTTACGTGAATATATAGATTTTTTAAAAAAATAAAACGTTAAACCAGGCTTGAAAAGCATATATAGAGATCCACGAGGATGAGGACTTTAATATAAATTTCAGATCCAAATATATAAAAGCATAAGAATAAAAACTTCAAAATTTCAGGGTACTATACTTGCACGTGTGTTTGGCGTGTGGCAGGAATTCAGCCAAAAACACATCGACTTCAGCCTTACCTCTCCTCCGTTTGAATTGTAACTGGATCAATATGTTTTGGGAACAGCGCTTGTGTATAGGGGGAGCACAATTGTTTTTGCTGCTCGTGTGGATGAGGCTAATTTAGAGGAGGGGGGAGTTAATTTCCTTCAAAGAGCCGAGCTTTGCTACGCATCCACGAGGTAGGTCACGTTGGCCCTACGCGGCGACACGGTCACCTGGGAGTCTCCACGTATGAGGCTTGGCCGCCGACTGAAATTGTGGCCCCTCTCGTGCACGCATGCACATGGGCGGCACGTGAAATGAATGGATGGGGGGTGGGTGGGGTGGGTAGCTGAGATCTGGCAGGAGACGACCATCTATCAGCCGAGCCGGGTGAAAGGCTTGTCACTGGCCCACGCTGGACAGATGGTCGGTCAGGTTCCAGCATACCCCGTGCCCCTATTAACCTTTATTGTTACAGCCAGATATGGAGGACAGTGGTGGGGGCAGGGGGGTGGGAGAGATTGTGGATGTGGAATATGGTGAGCAGGCGCGGAGACACCGGTGCAGCAGTGGATCGGGCAGAGCGAGAGAGACGGACATGGGAAAACGAGAAAGACACACACACAGAAAAAGTGGCATACGAGAGAGAGAGAGACGCGCACATGAACGCACACACATGAACATAAGAATATAGAGACAGAGAGACAGACAAAGGGGGAGGCACACACACAAGATCGAGCCACGGACACGATGGAAGAGAGAGAGAGACACGCAAGGAGAGAGAGAGGCGCGTGCAGACATTCGGGGAGACAGACACACACACACGAGGGGAAAGAGAGACGTCTACAAAGACACGGGGAGAGACAGGCACACAAAGAGAGATGCACACGAGAGAGAGGGAGAGAAAGACGCGGAGACGAGGAGAGAGCGAGACACACACACACACAAGTATAGAGAGACACACACACACACACGGGGAGACAGACACGCAGGCTCGCACGCACGAGGAAAGCGAGTCAAGACGCGAGCGGAGACAGAGACGGAGAGTCTGCACCACTCCCACCCGTGACCCTTCGCTTCCCTCGAATCTCATTGTCGTGGCCCAGCGTGGCCAAGGCAGAGTTGCCATTGTCTTTCCAGAAGGCGGCTTTGCATCCCAAAGAGGGGCGCATGAGAAGGACCGTGCTTCGCCTTTGTGGCAGCGCCGATCACAAAGCGCGGCTTTGCGGTGGCATTCATGGGTGGTTGTCTCTGCGACAGTACAGCGCCAGCAACTTTGAAATGCTGAGCGGTGTGGGGGAGTGATCACGTACTTTTTTTCAACCTCCGAAAGGGGTTGAAAGTAAAACAAAAAAAAATCGTGATTTCACGTTTCTTCTTCGTGTGAGTGTGACTTAAAGGGAAAAGGAAAGCAGTGGAGATTGTACAGAGGCATAATACAAGAAGGCTTTTCGGGGGATTGAAGCCCACAAAAATGTGAGCTGTTCTGCCCGGTTAGGGTTTGGCTCAAAGTGAATTTAAATGATGGGTCACTTAAAGTCCTGTCGTTTTTCAAGGCAACGATGCCTTGGCAATTCTAATATTAACGAAGCACTTAAGGGCAGACTTTGTTTGTGTCTTTAGCGGTGGCAACGAAAGACCAAGCTACCGGGATTCGGCAATTCTGCTGAGCGGACACCAAAGTACGTGGATCCGAATTTGATAGACAGTCTCCTGTGCCGAGAGATGTGATTCGCGAGTCTTGCTTCGCGCATGGGTTTAGGGGATTACAGCCACGGCAGGTTTGGTGAGACCAACTTCTGCGAGGTCACCAGAAAAGGGGGTGGCTGAGCAAACTTGGTCTGGCGGTGCCTAGGTTCACCGATGATGTCGTTAATGCATCATTGGTGAACCTCAGCGTAAACTCCGGTCATTCTCGCAGCGTCTTTTGGCTCACCATCGACCAAAGACGGTCACAGCATCGCGCGCTTTCAGATGCGCCTATGCGGCCGTCTGGAACGATCTTCCTTCCGACATTAGGAAGCCACCGGAGCTTTGCACTTTTAAATCTCGATTGAAAACTATTTTGTTTTAGAACAGATTTCTGTGTTTAGTCTTGTCCTGCCCCCGCACCTCCGATTAGCACGGATGGCTACGTACGGTACGAAAGAAGTTCAACATACATACGTGCAACCGACGAGAAATGGACTAAATGTACTGCAGAGCGGAGCCCGAGATCAGGCAGACGTGGCAGAGAGGGCAAGAGAGCGGCAGAAGGCGGTGAGATTAAATCAAAATATTTTTAGAGTGCACGATTGGACGAGGCCGCTGGAGACAACGAAGGAATGGAGGGATATGGAGGAGGCCCAGCGGTGGGAAGTTAAAACAAGCTGATGACATCAAAGACAACAAGGGTCAAGTCTCTGGTGCGCGTTTGAGGTCTCGATGTGAGCGCTTGCGCTGACTGACACCGGCTGGCCCGAGACAGCTCGTGCAGATATGGGCGGAGAGAGAACGCGTTCGGGTGCCCTTTGGCGATTGCAAGCTGAAAAAAAAACCACACGCAACTTCCAACGAATGTGGGGTTTTTCAGCCAATTAAGCTTAGAGGCGAGCAATTAGGATTAGCGATGGTCAAAGATTTTGACGAAAAATGTTCTTCCACCGCAATCGGACGTGACCGCGTGGCGTATTGAGGTCTCGCCGCAAGGGCATCGGTGTTTTTTTGTTGTTGTTAAATGACACGAAAGCATTAAACGAAAAATGCACGATGCTTAACGGTGATATGTTTTAGACGGTAGTGTTAGGGAATACAAGCGTCATGCTATAATGAGGGCCGGGGGGCGGGGGGTGTCGGTGCTTGCCAGGAGTATGTGACCTCTGGAGCGTGGCTTGTCGCAGTTTTATTTCCTGCTCAAGTGAGATCGGAGGGGGTTGGATCGAGCACAAAGCGGCGAGTGTGGAGGGGTGAATACAATTTCACTACCACCTCGACCCCCCCCCCCCCCCTTCGCTCGCCCTCCAAAAAACAACCTGGCAATCTGTGTCGGCCACGGTAGCGAGGAGACCTGGAGCACACAAATTCACAGTCGTGACGCCTCAACACTCCCAGTACGTCTTCTTGGTTCTTTCGGTAAAGTCACGTAGAAGGGAAGTAGTAAAATAATAAAAAAATAAAACATAATAAAATAATTCTCACGACGTTTCGGCCACAACCAGGTCTGTCGGGGAGATAGCGTCTGAATTTAGACGCTGTCTCCCCGACAGACCTGGTC